ACCGGCGCGGTATGAAAGCACCCTTAGGCAAAAGATCTTCTCTCCATCAGATTTGACTATAATTCTGCTGCTAATTTCGGATTACATATACTTTTTCAATATCTCGATTATTCATTGATTACAGCTGCCTTCTTCGAGGAACAGAAATATGATGAATGCGTGGAGCTATGCAAGAAGGCTGTGGAAGTGGGTCGCGAGCAGCGCGCTGATTTCAAATTGATTGCCAAGTTCGTATCAGTCTACAAAATTTTTTGTTTCTCACCTGATCTTTTAAGAGCGATGGCTCGTGCAGGCAACGCACTATCAAAGAAGGAAGATTATAAAGAAGCGCTAAACTGGTATGAAAAGTCGGTCTCCGAACATAGGGATCCAGTGAGTTCTGCTCTGTTTTATGTTCCACCACTATCTTTCTTCATAGTATGGTAGGAGATCTCTGCCATTCAATTATTGCTTTTTTGAATAGATAAGCTTTTTTCACCATCATTTTTAGTGGCTCTCATTCCTTTGCAATCTCTCAAATGCTGTCCATTCAGATCTTTGATCTAATCCTTGAAAAGTTTTTGTTCAGGAAGTCGTTAAAAAAGCGAAGGAGCTTGAAAAGGAGATCAGAGAAAAGGAGCGTTTGGCGTATGTAAATCCGGAATTGGCGCAGCAAGAAAAGAATTTGGGAAATGAGCTTTTCAAAGTAAGTATTGCTTCTTATATCGATTTCATTTGCTTGGGATACACCCATATTTTCTTTATAATTTGAAATTCTTTACAGTTTTTTGTTAGTCGATGTGGCTTTTTGTGTCAATTTCTCAAGATGGTGCTTGTCAAAAGTTTTTGACGTCTGAGATATTCTTTCACCCGGCATTTTGTCATCTTTATTGTTAACCCAAGACTTGGTAAACTCTAGTTTACATTAGTAATCTGGTTTGGTTTATCTCGCATGCCTGATATGTCGACGGCACTGATACACTACAAGCAGCACCAGCACTGTGAAGTCCTGGTGCTGCTTTTACTCAGGAATTCCTTGTTATCCACAGATGATAGCCCAAATCCTCTGAAAGCTACTGCGTTCATCACACATATCACCTCAGATAAATGCAGTCCAGTTTTTGTTCCATTACTTGTTTGAATTTTTGTTCTCCATTTCGTCATCGGAGGAAATGAAGTGACTATCATTAAATCGCTTTTCTATTATTTTTCTGCTATTGCAGCTAATTGATAGAACTGTTCTCGTAGCATCCAGAACATTTGGTATCAGTTCCGGCACTCAACTTATTGAGGGTATCTCCATTTTTCCAGAAAGGTGATTATCCCGGTGCCATGAAACACTACAATGAAGCAGTAAAACGTGACCCGGATAATGCTATCCTGTATTCTAATCGTGCTGCCTGCTACACAAAACTCATGGAATTCCAACGTGCCCTTGACGACTGCGAGCATTGTATCAAGCGTGACCCTAAATTCAGTGAGT